ATCAGAATTTGAACTTCATTTAGTGTTTATGTCTGGTTTCAGATCAAAGGGACCATAGCGCTGGGCCTGTATGGCCACCTGCTAAGTTTGATATATCAAGCCAACGGTAAGTGTAAATAAGTCTATAAGTGATTCTCAGACGGGCAGTTGAGATAATATTCATTTGGTTATATTGATTGATTTATTTATTCACTGTTATTTAATGAATGACGAACACGAGAATTTCTGTAGGTTGGTGATGAATAACGTACCGGATAAAGCTACGTCTTATGTAATATCATGTCCGACACTTTGTTCCTTTTTTCCAGGTGACGAATCTGTTTACGCACTTGAGTTCTACAATTACTGGTCGAAAATCGCTCTGAGATCACTGTGGATCCTGTTCTCCATTCTTCTCATCATAGGCGTGGTTAAGGTCAGATCAGAGTCACTCTTAAACGACATACGAGAACTAGTTTGTTTAAATTCAGTATTATTTATAGACAATGTATATGAACCCAATTGTAACTTTAATAATGCAATAGAACACCGCTTGAAAAGGTTTTTTTTTTTTTGCGTTGTAAATGTTAATCTGAAAGCGGTGGTAAGGCATCTTGTTCAGTGTAGTTTTTTATTCATAGTCTATGCTTATAGAAAAACGGAGCTTATTTGTTTTTAGTTCCACAAAGCTATAATAATTTATTATGTAGAGTAGAAAAATCTTCAAACAGATAGCAAGTGCTCTAGTGTCAGTACGCAGTTGTCAAAATCCACTTTCTAAAATGGGTCCAATGTGTTGGGTGGGGGTGGGGAGAGGAGCTGGGGGTGGGGAGGGTGTCAATACTTTACACCAAATATTAATTTTTGTAAATTATTTTTTACTTTTATATACCGTATTCCAGGGTATCCGTGGTATGTTTATTCCATGGATGATTATGGACGGGATTTTCGTCTTTGTGGAAGGCTTCAGCTTGATCCAATCCTTCCTTGCAATTGGTAGGTATAACATTTATACTAACCACGACTGTATACAAAGACATGATCACTGCCATGACTTCTTGCCTGGTCTAAATACACGCACGTCCAGTGTGCTTCAAGATACTTGATGGCTCATTACATGACATATGCTATAGGATTTCTCCGTACTTTTTCATTTGTAGATTTCTTATTTTATGTCCAGTATCTTAGTACTTCGCACAGACACGCAAGTGAAACATTCACAAGTGTAACATTCTATAACACAACGGTCCTTCAGTTAAAGTCTTTATGAAGTGGTACATGTAGTAATTAATTTCATATAGTATATAGGTCTCCAGCCCTTATATATTTCATACACAATCTCATTAAATGGTTATGATTTAATTTGTTATGCCGAAATTATGTAAAGATAGAAGCGATACAAGAGTTTTAAAAATATACCAAATGACAAGGATTAAATTAAATGATCTTGATGAAGTCTGAAATTATCATAAAAAAGTTCAGGTCGAATTGCTTCTTGTATATTTTTGTGAAATCTTATTGAATTGCCACATGTTACAGATGGCTGAAACTTTTAAAATTTACTCTGTTGATTATGTAGATTTCATTACTTGATCTGTGCATAATACTTTTTTTCATTCTTTTTCATGAAGCCTGGACGTTAAGCAGATTACTTCCGGCAGTGTTATTCTTTCTATTTTTGGCGTTACTTCTTATCGATGTAAGTGCTCTCTCTCTCTCTCTCTCTCTCTTGCGCGCGCGCGAGTGAGTGTATATACTGAATGCATTTTTAATTTGAGTGCAGTCGCAACTAAAACTGATCCACAGAACTGTTGGTCTTCCGATCAGCTTCTTCTGATTGCGCCCTTTTAGTATTATGCATCGTCCCTCATTTTTAAAGGAATTTTTAAAAGGAGTCGTATTTATAGCCATCATTAGTAGACGTCCTGTTTTAGAGTATCATTTGGCTTACTATCGTGTTTCAGCTTTACGCCCTGGTGTGTGTCTCGGCATATTACAGACAACTCTCCCCCGCGACAGGTGACACTGAAATGCAGCCTAACAACCCGGAAGAAGACGCCATATGATATGATCGTAAAATGTCATCACTGATCGATGAAGTGCAATGTGCCCGATAGTAGTATAAAATATACGGCAAACCTCCTCAACTTCATATGCAAGGCAGCTTTACTGCTGTTTCCGCACGATTTCACAGTTTTGAAATGCTTTTCGTACGTTTTCCAAGTTAACGCACGACCCACCATTGTTCCTCACTCCAACACCGATATATTGTGCGTTAGACGAATGGAACGTCGGTACTGCTACTTAACGTGCTCGGTGCTATAACAGGCCTGTGTGTGTTGAACTCTCTCCATTGATCAAAACAATCGCATTTGTACATGTAAAATGCTGTCTGTGCCGAATACTTTTCAACTTACAGGCCATCCGGGCCACCAGGGTCTGAGAATCTACTGGCAGGCTCCAATTTTCCAAAAAAAAAATTTGAATTAAATTAACACATTTAGATTAAACAGTCTTTCTTTTACAAATAAGACATCTAAACCAAGGAAATTTCAAAGAATTATGAAAAAAGACTTTAACGTTTTGCTGAATTGGAGTACATGTGACATCAGAAAAAATCCACTGGCCGGGTAAGACCAGTAAATGACTGGTTTTCAGGAATCAACTACCCGCTCCAATTTTTACTGCCATTGCAGCCGGGCCAGTCATTCACGTTGTAGACTGAAAATAAATAGGGGAAATCTTCACTGTTGACCGAGTATTATGTTGTCGGTACGATTTGCATCCTATAGGACTTAACTGTGACAGAATCGTGAAGGGATGACATTTTTTGTAAAGGCAAAATGACCCATTCCGTCATTATCAAACTTACCCTCTAAATGTGCCTAATGTTTCGTGACATATTTTATTTTATCTTATCAAAATTTATGTAAGCCAAATCACTGAAAAGATACAGACCCCCCCCCCCGGGCCAGTGTTTCAGTCATTAACCCCGTACTGGTACATGTACCCTTTCACTGAGTCAGCTTGCATGTATGTACATCCTACCTGTATGTACATATTGGGTTTTAACTGTTTTAGCTGTTCATAATTAAAATTATGAACAGCTCAAACCCGTAATAGAATTCAATCATGCTGCATTTATAGAGAAATTGAGTCCAGTCTTATCTTTTGCATATCATGATATTGAACTAATTTTTACATTAATTTTAATCAAGTACAATTTGTAAAAAACTGATTGTAATTTACATAGATATTTATTTACTTAACATGTTTATTTAAAATTTATTTTTGTATAATTCAGAAGTTTAAGTTTATTTTGATAAATAAAATATTATAGTCATTTGGTAAAGAATTGGGCATAATAAGATGCCGTTGACGGGCATAGTAAGGTGAATATGCCATAATCTACCATTACCTCAGCCTGCCTCTACATGTTAAAGTACATGTAGCGTCAGACCATTACTGGCATTGTATTGACTAAGGAAGCAGTTATAAATACACGTAATGTTCCCATTATATAAAAGCTGTGATTTGAGTTGAGTTTGAGTTAACATTGCTGTTAAGGGGCGATGGTTAAGTCTGTATAATAAAAGGTTTTACATTATTCAGTTAAACTTGTTGCTACATGTATGACTCCTGTGATTATATATGTTCTAATGTGCTCTTTGATTTGACTAATGGCTAATTTTTTATCAGGACCCAAACTTTCATCCTTGTCATGGATGATTATGACTTATTTTTTATCAATTGGAAATCATTTTTCGAGGATGTTTTAATTTTAACATGGAAATATGTGGCAGACACATCTTTTTTATTATAAGAAATAACATTGTATGAAGTAAAAATAATGCTTGGAGTCGTTACCATTATCATTGTCATTGATTTTCTTTTTAATCTTGTCTAAAACTCCGTAATTTAAACCGGTTTCTTTATCTTGCAAATGTATATACATATATAGTATAATAATCATAACCTTATTACGAAATTGCACTCCATTGGGTTAAAGGTCTACATGGATATACTATGTATATAATGGATATATAATGGATATATAATGGACACCTAGTCAACATACACACTGGGTGGTGACACTCTCGCTGCCACACCAGGAATTTGCCCCTGCTTCAACCCTCAAGTACTGAATGCCAAGCAGGTAGCATGCGTGTAGCCTACCGTTTATAAAGCACTGGTATGTCCCCGGACGGGGTCGAACTCACGTCCTCCCGCTCCGGAGGCGGACACTGGTGGCGGACACCACAAGCTCATCCGGTTGGTCACATATATTTTGTTTTCCACAGTCTTAGTGGATTTTCAAAGTTGTATAAACCACATTGTTTCGAGACATGATTGTCTGAATCACTAACGCATTGCGTTAGGAGTGACACTTTTTTGTGCTAGGGAAGTACATGTACCGGTATATATATATATTCTAATATGTACATGTATATTCTATATAGTGCAATACTTATATGCAGAATTGGTGAATCGAACTCCACGAACTAGCTATAGAAAAACATATCCTTTAGGATATGTCATAAAAAAGAAGAGTCGGGACTAGTAGAGGCAGGGTCTGATTAACGCAAATTAAACGCATGTTTAGGGACCGCAGCCTGGAGGCCAACAAGCTGCTAGAGGAAAGGAATTTAAGGGACATAAAGGTTCAGTAAAATTGAGAAAATGATACTTGTATGGGCGTGATAAAGAAACTATGTGTTCTAGTATGTCTCATTAGTTCTATGTGCACTACCGGCGGTATATGTACATGTATAATTAAAACTGATTCCGATTGTATTGTATATAGTTACACAGGCTTTGTCTGCCTTTCCAAAATGGGGCGTTTACTCACCTAAATAGTATTTAAAAGAAAAAGCTCACATTACTCTTTGACCCATTTTGTCTCTTAAAACGCCTGTTTCGCTAGAGTAAGAGGTCGAGATATGCAAAAAAATGTAATTATTTACCTTACCCAATGATAACAAACACGTGCATGGATATAATTATTAATTGCATCTTTCATTTAATTAGTTGCATGAAATTCCTGCTAATCAGTGTTAATGACATAAATGTAAAATGACAAGATACATCAAAAATAAAATGCATTATTCTAACTAAAGTCTCTTATATCTTTGGTAGCATGTTCTTAACCGCAAAAGGGTGTAAACTATTGAATGTTAATATAATAATATATTTATAAACTGTTCCTACGGAATGCTCTCTAGTGTTAAATCACACAGTCGTTATATCACAAAAACAATCATTACAAAACAAGGACATTTAAAATGCACGTGTCGGTCAGAAAGACAAGTCTTTGATAGCGATAATAGGACGTAAAGACGATTTGTCGTTGAGAAGATCGTTTCTTTTTTCTTTTTTAATGAAAGTCGTTGTTCTCGTATCTCAGACGTCATCGTTCTCAGAATCGCCGGCTTCGTAAATGTCATTATCAACAAAGACGACGTCATCAGCAACATCCGGGTCTTTTGCCAGGTCATAAAAGCCATCGTTGTCGCTATCTACTCCCTCATCGTGGTAACTTGATATCATTTTCTTTCGCTTGTCTGGAACTGCATACAAACCAGAGTCATCGTGTGGTATGTCCGATGTAGCCGCAATCACACCGAATGTATTTTCATATTGTGGGTCTATTTGTTCTTGACTTGACGGTTCATATACTTCAATTTGCGTAAAGCCCGGATCTCCGGCAAAGTCCGCGATGTGCTCATTGGCATTTAAATGTTCGGAATAGTCTGCATTTTGGTCCGGCATTTTAGTCTGGGCTGTGTTCTTCTTGTTAGTTTGGGCAGTTCCCCTGCTTCGCCTGTTTTCAAATAAAGCGAACAAAGAGTTTTGATGGCGATGCTGACTGTTCGTAAGTTAATCTGTACATGTGTGTGTTTGTTTGTGTGTGTGTGTGTGTGTGTGAGCGTGTATATGAGAGAGAGAGAGAGAGAGAGAGAGAGAGAGAGAGAGAGAGATCTAACAAACTGTGGCACTCTGCAGTTGCCTTACCTTACAAGATACACAATAGCCACAATAAGAACAAGCAGAACAGTCACGGCAGCAACAACGCCCCCTATTACCCCAGCTTTCTGTGCAGCAGTCTGCTCGTTGGCAAGTAACATTTCGGGCTGACCTAAAATATGATAAAATCCAGTGAGAGTAAACAATTTGTAATTTCTTAATGAAAACACTAACATTTCAAATGACAGTGAAAAGTAAGTGATAACAAAAGTGATAACTCATATGGGGAAATACCAGTACATGCATACTGTGCGCGTGAAGTCTCAGTTATCAATATCTTTTGCTTTGGTTATTCTTTATATTTTTTAAAATGAAATGATTTAAAAAAGGCTAGAATTCGTTATGAGTTGTAATGCCAAATTTTCCTTTTTTATAAATGGAAAACATACTTTTGCAGAACATGGAGATATTCCCAAAACTACCAAACTCGTCACAAGAAATGAGCATAGAATATTGTCCATCTTGGAACGTGTATCCTGGCTGACATGTCAGGTTAACGGTGTCTCCATAATAATAAGGTCCTGGCTTGTACAATACACGGTCGTTAGTCTCTAGGACACACCTCCTCCTGGAGCACTGAGGGGTAAATGACCCGTTTGCACCACAGGTTACTCTATCTCGGGACGCACCATTTGGGAAAGAGTACCCCTTAAGACAGTTGACATCTACAAAGTCCTCAAAGAAATAAGCTGCGGCTGGTGTTAAAATAGAAGTTTGATCGAACCACTGATCTGTTGCCGGAATGTGGCATTGCCTTCTCACACAGTTTGGTACAGTTGGGGAGAAGTTGTTGTTTTCGCCACATTTTATCACCGCAGTCGTCGTATTGCTTGGGAACTGAAAACCCTGTCTGCACTGGATGGTAATACTTTGATTAAAGGGGAAAATACTGATATTGCTTGTTATAGCATTGGGAACCAATGGAATAGCACAATATATCAGTTGACAGGAAGGGACGGATGGAGAGAGACCACCGTCTGGCTGACAGTTCACTCTGAGTGAAGTGGCACCATTTGGAAATTGATATCCTTTGTTACAATACACATCACTTGAAGATGCATAGTTTAAATAAGAGTCGTCGGCATAAGTATTAGGGCCGAGGTTATTGAGATGGCATCTAACGCGCTGGCAGCTTGGAATGTACGTGGTATTTAGCACGCCATTTGGCTGGCAGAGGACATACACCGTTCTCTCACCAGACGGCAGCTCGAACCCAGTGGAACATGTGTAAGTGATGACGTCATGGCCGTATATAGTCCCTGTTTTACTGGCGTGAATATTGTCACCGGTCACCGGTGGTTGACACGTCCTGTAGCACGTAGAGAGGGTGCTGTAGTGTCCGTTATTTTGACAGATGGCAGTTCTGGTTGTTGTAATGACTCCATCTCTGAAACTGTAGCCAGACTGACAGCTGTACGTTAGGTATTCTCCAGGCCACCGTGCTCGAGATACAGCGTAGATGTAGCGGGTGTCAAATGGTGTCGCACTGCACGTAACTGGAATGTATTGTGAATATCATTTAAGCACTTAAAAGTTTTGTTTGACCGATTTGAAAAAGCATTGACAGACATATTCGCCACCAAAACAAATATTTATACACTGAAAGAAAATCGACCACGCGTATGTTGTACTCAAATGTATAAAGTAAATTCAAAGAAATAAAACAAATAGGATCTATAAAAAAGTTAAAACATTTACATATGTATTCCCATGGGGTCAACGATATTGTAAAAAACTGCTCTCTTTAGAAACACCCCTACATATGCAAGTCTAATGTTGCTTGGGAAGAAAGGAAACACAAATTAAAAAATCCTGATGTCGTATGCACAAACCTGTACACTTAAATTGTGCTATTTCGGTTGTTTAAGGGATAACAATTCTTCGAATGAGATTAATATTTCACATTAAAAACTCACAAAACTTTAATAAATTCCATTTTGCAACCAAAACGACGGTTATCGCAATTATTCTAGAATATGTGCATCCCATCGGACCATGTGGCATTTACAGATGACTACCCTCCGTAATAACCGTAAAGATTATTACAAAAACCAAACTTAAAAAACATGGACTAACTTTGAATGTCGTAACGGATACATTAACCATTTGTAAGAATTTTCCCCAGAAAAATCCATTAATGGCACTTTTCCCGCAAAAACGAACAGTTGTTAACCCTTTGACTTAATATAGAAAACATGCGTGGTATAATTTTATACTAAAAAGAGTAAACGGATATAAGTGTATCCTAAACAGAATTCTGTCTATGTCTACTTCATGGGTTAACTTACCGCAGGTTTTCAGTTTATAATGCATAACGTTGTTTGAAGCACGCGGCCTCCTACAGGCAGTGGTGATCGAGTGATGCCAGCAGGCACTAGTACCGATGTCCCAGTCAACGGCAAAGCATCGCGGAGACGTAGGCCTATTACAGCTTTCCAGGCATTGTCTAAGGCTTGATGTACTCACTGGTTGGGCCCCACGGGCATTATGGTATGGGTAAACGCTGACAACAAAATTTGGTTCTGAAAGTGAAAAAACGAGAGAGTTCAAAGTTAGTGCTCATTAGCACCAATTTTTTATTTTATGCTGTGTAGTGTTGATGTTCCGTCTTGCAATAGAATTTGGAAGTATACTTTGAGAATATGAGTGCTCGTGAATGACAGATAAACAATCTGTAAAATCATATCTTATTACATGTACCAATAGACTGCATAATATCGCAGGTTAGACGTACAGGATGTATACTTGCTAGACTGTTATAGATGGCTCACTGCAATGACATATACGTACGTCCACACACAGGGGCATTCCCACTCAAGTAGTGCAGATATCTGCGTTGAACGTTATCCCATTCACTAATACATCGCCTCTGTAAGTCGCCAGCCAGGTGCACGGAAGGTAATTGACAGGTGTAGGTGACCCATGCCCCGTATGCAACTCGAGTCTGTTGAGATGAACGTGTAGCATTTGCCACGGCTTGCACTTCACAATCTGAAGATGACATTACATCATGACTAATGTGCAGTGAACTCAAACGGGCGAATCTTGGGCCTCAATCACAACAGTGACTAGTCAGTAACTAGATCAAATATGGCAGCCAACCTAAAATCTTGCCGTCTAATCTCCTAACAGACACTCCCCGTGGGGATTACGCAACAAGCATTCGAGTGAGTCGACCCAAGAAGTTATAATGAGAAGGAGTAGAAACGGGACACCAATTATCTCTCTCGTCCAATCAGATCGCAGCATTCTTTTCAAAGCGGCGTCCTTTGAAATTCGATCCTCGTAACTGGTCTAATCCTCCGCTCGCCTCCGCGTGACTCAAGACGGAGAAGCTGAACCAGTGCGTATACGTCTTGATTTATTCATGTTTAATGCGAATATTTGGAAGTTATACTTAGAAAAACGCCAAGTCGATCGATATAAAGGTGAGTGAGAGTTGATAATCTGCTTTGAGCATTGTTTTATGTTCATACGGTGGCTGTCAGTCAAATTTGTCAGTGCAGAAAGCAGCGTTAGCTCGAAGATCTGAGGCCGATTCAGCGGGACCTCCATGTTTAGGACTTTTTTCTTCTTAAGTGCGTGATGTATGCACATAATTTATGTTTTTCTGGTTAGTTAAGCACGTGCATCATTACAATACATCACTTTGGTATTAAATGAATCAATCCTTTAGATGAAAAACATCGTTTCAAATAGACAACTTTTCATCGGACTTTTTCAAAATGGCGGGTCCCTAAATTGGTTAGAGACAGTTGGGTGACAGTTTGGGACAATTTTTGGTAATTTTAACGTGGTGTATGCATATAATTTATGTTTTTCTGGTTAGTTAAGCACGTGCACCATTACAATACATCATTGTGATATTAAATGAGTCAATCCTTTAGATGAAAAACATCGTTTCAAATAGACAACTTTTCATCCGACTTTTTCAAAATGGCGGGTCCCTAAATTGGTTAGAGACAGTTGGGTGACAGTTTGGGACAATTTTTGGTAATTTTAACGTGGTGTATGCATATAATTTATGTTTTTCTGGTTAGTTAAGCACGTGCACCATTACAATACATCATTGTGATATTAAATGAGTCAATCCTTTAGATGAAAAACATCGTTTCAAATAGACAACTTTTCATCCGACTTTTTCAAAATGGCGGGTCCCTAAATTGGTTAGAGACAGTTGGGTGACAGTTTGGGACAATTTTTGGTAATTTTAACGTGGTGTATGCATATAATTTATGTTTTTCTGGTTAGTTAAGCACGTGCACCATTACAATACATCATTGTGATATTAAATGAGTCAATCCTTTAGATGAAAAACATCGTTTCAAATAGACAACTTTTCATCCGACTTTTTCAAAATGGCGGGTCCCTAAATTGGTTAGAGACAGTTGGGTGACAGTTTGGGACAATTTTTGGTAATTTTAACGTGGTGTATGCATATAATTTATGTTTTTCTGGTTAGTTAAGCACGTGCACCATTACAATACATCATTGTGATATTAAATGAGTCAATCCTTTAGATGAAAAACATCGTTTCAAATAGACAACTTTTCATCCGACTTTTTCAAAATGGCGGGTCCCTAAATTGGTTAGAGACAGTTGGGTGACAGTTTGGGACAATTTTTGGTAATTTTAACGTGGTGTATGCATATAATTTATGTTTTTCTGGTTAGTTAAGGACGTGCATCATTACAATACATCACTTTGGTATTAAATGAATCAATCCTTTAGATGAAAAACATCGTTTCAAATAAACAACTTTTCATGGGACTTTTTCAAAATGGTGGGTCCAAAATTTGATGACAGGGAACTCTCGGAATTTTTTTTTTCAATTTTTTATTGCAATATGATGTTTGCAGAGTTTCGTTTAGGATATAGAGTTATATTTTGTAATGAATTCCGCACTTACTCATTTCAGGTTGAAGAGAATGCAGGTGAAAGATCTTTAGTTTTGCTGGCAAAATGATTGTTTCCAGCAGCAACTTGATGAGGCACAAGGCTCTGTTTTCTTACCACCACTAATATTAAACTATAGTGCACAAGAGGTGCAAGTTTTAAAAGGGAATTTAGTGGTCCGAGTTTTAAAAGGGAATTTAGTGTTCACTGGCTAATTGTCTAAAGTTTAAAATAAAATAATCACCACATCAAAATAAAAACTAACCATTTTTGTATTGCTTTAATCACTGTTGGGTGTAACAATATTGATATATTTTCATTGCTGGTACTTTGTTTTAGATATTATACAAGTTGCTCGAATGTTGAAATAAAGCAATATCAATCAATAAAAATATTTCTTTGATTTTTTCTTCTAATGAATTTAAACTATCAGTCTACTATTAGTTGGCCTCATGTAATAGACAAAGATATAAACAAAAATATGTATTAATGAAATTTTATTTAGAATCATACTAAGTGCAATAACTTATTTTCATTTCCCCAATTTTCCTGTTTAAGCTCTACCTGGTATATAAGCAATAATGTGCCAAAAAAGAAAGAAACGAGGCTGGCATACGGAAATTGCAAGTACTACTGTTTTGTGTACACGGCTGTGAATTGAATGTGTCATTCCTAGATGAAGGTAAATTTCCTTTACACGCCTTTACACGACAAAAATAATTTAAAATAAATATGAGACTTCTACAGGTGCAAATTTTAGCGTTGAAGGTGGGTTTGTGAAATTGTTCTCATACATTCTTGATGTGAAACTAAATTTTGTATAACTGATCGGCTCTAGATCAAATGAAGGTGTATCTCGCATGATTTGAGTTTTATTTCCCAAAATGGTTGCGTCCAGGCTTGAAATCTCTCTCTACACCTTTCTGTAATCCCACCATGTTTTCTCTGTGAGATTATTAGAGACTTCGCGAAGCTTTATCCCCATTGGCTGAAGCAACCCACGTGAACGGTCTTTTGAATATGTATTAGGCACAAGCTCTCCCTAAGACCACAAGCTGGGTAATTATTAGGATTAAGCCCGTTACGAGGATAGGATGAAAGGAAACCCCTTGTTTCTACTCCTTCTCTTTATAACTTCTTGGTCGACCATATTTGATCCGCGGACTTGTTAGTCCGCTGTTGAGAATGCTCTAAGTATAAAAAACAACCCATCTTTTGTGACAAAGAAAATATTGGTGATATAAAATAACTAGTTTTGGGGCATTTTACGCACTGTGTCACCCCACTCTCTTTTTAAAGTGAAAATTGGTTAAGATCGCGAAAGTATACGCAAAAAAATTCGTTGTGTTATTTAAAATAAACATTATAAACATTTTTTGAGAAGTTAGACATCATTCTCGCTCCCTGCCAAGTTGTAGATTTTCTTCTGTACCAAATATTAACTAGATCAGTTGAAGAACGTGAGATGGTGCTGTGAGCGGCAGTACCGAAGGTTTAAAATTTATTTAGTTTATGTGTTTGTGTGTGTGTGTGTGTGAGAACAGATACATCTAGTAATTGCTATTTTTAGTTTTAAAGGTGCTTGACTGATGATTATAATAAAGTTCCACTTGGAAAAACAATTTTCCACTCGTTTACTTTTAATAAATAATAATGTTAAATGAATCTATATTTAGAATTATTGTTAATCTAAGACTGGGTTCCCATGCCTAGATCGATCCAACAAGATCAATCTACCTCCATGGGGATTCACACTAAATTGCTATCAACTTAAGTGCCTTAAATGTCTGTCACGCCCACCGAATCAGCTAGAGGGTAACTGCGCGCTCAGCCTCCGGTAGTTTATCACCTTAGCAGCTTTAGACAGACATTTAAGCAGCTTAAGTTGATAGCAATTCAGTGAGAATCCCCTTGGGGGTAGATCGATCCAAAGTCAGTACGATAGGCTCTGGGAATGGTCCCTAAACATCGAATCAACAATGAACACGAAATGACTTTATATGTGCATGATAACTGTGACAGGGGCTTAAGAATGGTTATGGATAAAATATACTTGTATGTGTCCCTCAGTGATTGTAGAAAAAAAAATTAAATTCCCAGGAATATAAGATTATTGCTTTTGTGCCTATAATGAAAGGTTATCACCTACTTGCATTATTCTGCTTCCATAGCAATGCTGTGAAAAAGAACGTGATTATTGTTGATACGGGATCAGAGCAAGGAATCCCTGTCTTCATTTCTAAATAGTAACCAGGTTATTTACACAAAATCATTTGCGGTCGGGTGGCCTGCATTGTAGAAGTGGACTGAAAAGTGAAAGAAGAGAAAAAAATAAGACACAGTATAGAAAGCATGAATTGTTAATACTTGATAAATTACAGTACCCAAGTTTAGTAGATCAACGCTTTTTTGTGAAATAACTGCGGTTAATTTGCCTAATTCGTTATGAATAATTACAGGGGGTATACCACTCAAATGGAGTGTCAATAAACTAAAACCCGGCGGAAGTTGACATTGTAATTGTAGCATGTTATTGGATATGTGATAAATGTTCTTTTTTCTTTACTTTTTCTTTATTTCTTTCTCTTTTTTATTTTTTGTTAGCTTCTAAGAGCAAAAATTCTCCCTCTCCTTTCCTCCACACGTGAACGGGACATCACTAATACATTATAAAATACCAGCCTTACGCAAAAGTAGGTTTATATTAAAACTATACATGTATAATGTTAAACCTGATCATGTTGAATCTCTATGGCGGCAGAGAGGACACGTTCATAACGCGACTGAAATGTGAAATTCGCTCATACGGCCTGGAAGACTCGGTGCAATCTGAACCAGGAACAGGAACTAACTCGCAAATTGATATTGCCCTGAACAAGGAAGAATTTTTCTTCTTCTAAGGGTCACATATGGGTGGAAACTAACACGTGTTATCAGCATTCTTCTGGCGTCCCACTACGGAAGAGGCACGTATGTTGATAACAGAGCCAGAGGACAGTCTCTAGTTACCCACCGAACCCGGTTGGCTTTAACTACCAGTAGGCCTACCACATGTACAGTTCATGTACATACATGTACATCTAGTAATTAGACTTCTGCCCATGTACTAGTATTCATTAAAAATAAAATAATGTGAGTGCCTTTCACCCTATCCGCGTAAACATATTGCAGGTCCCTGATTGACAAGCATAAATTAAGTTGAAGGTTGTTTTTTACTTGAATGCTGGTATTTTTTATCTACTTTGACCAAGAATAAATATGAAGTTCTTAATAGTCTATTTTATCTAGGGGGGGGGGGTAATGTAAAAATGTGTGAGACCGATAATTTTTATTTTGAGGTCTACTTCCGACTGCCAACTTCCGAAACGTTTTGAGTGAGACGAGTTTCAGGCCAGACCCGTATAAAAAATCTGACTATACCATACACCTTATATACTGGGTACGTATAAAGTAACCCCTACAAACAACAATCACATACAACTAATAACCAAGAATAATATTATAAACTTACGTACGTCTGCATAGAGTCAGCCTTCAAACCCCTTACCTTCTATTTTTGCTTTCGCTACTGATAATGACACTGGGGTCGTCAAATAAAAGTATGATTCACAGGCGGATGTAGGTCGCTGGCAGTGCATTACTCAATATGACACGGAAGCCGCCACTTTCAAATGTAGGCCACTGTTTATTTTCTCTCCACCGTATTAGGCTATGTACTCCCGGGCTTGGCTTTGTTACTACAGCGTTTCTGTGCCCTCTATAAGATAAAGAAACAAGTCGACCTTGACGTTGCTTTTTCTAACCTGTGTTTGTTATGAAATTGTGACTTTCATGTCGCGGTGACGAGCATCATTTTAATTTCATAATCGTCTGATATCATTATTTAATATATTCATTAACACGTTGAATTAAAATAATAAAAATTATGAAATCAAAATTTGTTTATTTGAAGTTTAATTGTTCCTTTTGAAAAAATAAAAATTTCCTTTGTTGATATTGGTGACGATATGCCCAGCTCAAGGCATTTATTTTTCCTCAATCAAATAGAAACTATTTTTTCTTTAACAAGCATATTCGCTTCAGTAAGCGATGTCTCGCTTAGTTTGAAGTTGGGGACATTATCTTAAAAGACATTTCACGATGTTGTATGCGTGTGCGTTTGTGTGCACTTGTGTTCTAGAGCGTGCGTTTTAGAGGGAAGCCAGGAATTGTTTTTATCTACATGTAATTGATATCATAAAGGAATTTAAATGTGTGCACTTTATCACGAATCTGACTGACAGTTTCCGTCGTATAAGTAAAATTTCATTAGGTGAAATTGGTGATCATGGTTTATTTTTAGCATTGTTTTCCTCGATCATTCACAATCAGGCACAATTTTGCTTTCAAATGGAAACGCGCCCCAATTAGAGATGTCTCGCGTAGTGTGAAGTGGGGACGTTATCTTAATAGACTTTTGGCAGTATTTCATTTGTTATCTATGTAGTTCGTGATAAGTGTGTCTAGAATCGTGACCTGTTCAACTCATTGCTTTGTTAACGGTCCTGTTAAATAAACCCGCCACGGGTCATGGGTTCGGTAGTAACTTTATAGTGGGGAGGGGGGTATGTATAAGCGTTTCACTGTTTTTTCATATTATCTGTGTGCGTCCATATTTCAATTTGCACCAGCATTTTGGTAGGTGTTTCGAGTGTGTGTGTGCGTGCATGAGTGCGTATGTTCTAGCACGTGGAATTTAAACGGTAGCCGGGAATTGTCTTATCTACATATAATTGATATCTAGAATGCACTTTATCACCAATCTATTACCACAAACTACATCATCTACTTATTATGCTTGCACGTTAGGACATTTTCCATTTAACGGGGGTGAAACAGTGTATCTCTTGCTCACACACACGTGGCAATATCCTTGTTTAATTAATAATATTAAGTTCTAAAACGAAAAAAAAAATGCTGAAATTGGTTTACGATTGTGCATCTATGCATTGGCGTGGGCCGTCACATCATCATGAAGAAAGAGATATACATGTAAGTGTGATAGTAATGCATGAAGGAGTGGGGGGGCTGGTCACGGTAAGCTTTTTAACATCAAAAGCTGACGTCATTTGCTGCAAGTAAAGAAAGAAACACCAGTAAGCAGACGGAAGGTTACTGTACCTTAGTACAGAGCACCAGGTGTTTGGTTACACATGATGTGACCTTACGATTGACCTTATAATACGGTGTTATCTTAAACCAAGCCCGTTTTGGAATGGAAGTGACAAGAGCCTCCACCGTTATCAGCTTTAGCGTCGTTTGACAGTTTACGTGCATATGTGCGCATACGTGGAAAAGTGCCCACTGAATTTCTTTCGTGAAGCTTTTAATCCTTGTTTACGAGTGTGAACCAGGTTAATTTTTTGATTCTCTGTGTTTGGAATCGTTACGGTAGTAGAACCTAAGTATGATAAGATTACCGCCATCTCATCATCATCATCACCATCAGCCCGGTCCTACGTGTAGCGAAGATTGTCGGCACCCTCAATGGACCCAGCCCCTCCACTTCTTCCTGGCAACTGCGTCCTCTTGATATCTGTTATGCTTCTTACCGCCGGGTCTTTCCTTAGGAAGATGAAAAGAGGCGACGTTTAATAATCGGACTTCTAGTTTATTTCTAGTTGCCAATTTTAGAGCTAATATACACGTGGAAAAGTGCCCACTGAATTTGTGACTAAGCTTTTAATCCTTGTTTACGAGTGTGACCCAGGTTAATTTTATAATTCTCTGTGTTTGAAATCGTTACGGTAGTAGAACATAAGTACGTTAAGATAACCGCCATCTCATCATCTTCATCATCATCATCATCATCAGCCCGGTCCTCCGTGTATCGAAGATTGTCGGCATGCACCCTCAGTGGACTAAGCCCCTCCACTTCTTTATGGCTACTGCCGTCCTCGTGATATCTATAATTAAATGCTTCTTATCGCCTTAAGAAGATGAAAAGAGGAGACGTTTCATAATCGAACTTCTAGTTTATTTGTAGTTGCCGATTTTAGACCTATTTTGTGCAATTTTCAAAATAGCGGGCCGTCGTCATAGAGAACCTCTGTTATATAGAGCTTACCTCACTAAGAAATCGCGATGCCTTTTCACATCGAGCGCACGGTATACAAATCTGATGCTGCCTGGGCCGGTTTACTTTAAGAGTTACGCAACAGCGATCTTAATGAATCAGTAAACAGAAAGGTCAATAACTATATATGAATAAAAATATAAAAAAATGGTATATTAGATTGTTTTTATCCAATTGCTATTGATTCCTGTATTGCTAAGAAGCTGTCCATGAATGTCGGAAAACAAACACGTAGAGATGTAGAATTTGATTAATACTGGAATATAAATTAGTGTTCAAATCCCCTTTTTTGTTGGTGTGCACGAGGATATAACGCGTCCGATACAATGATCGGATACGTGTACAGCACGTAGTACATGTAGGTTAACAGAAAAATGCTTGTATGTATACATGCTTTATCAAAATCGACTCTTAGGGTGCTTTCCCAGAGATTTAGATCGATCTAAAGATTAAGTTTTAGATCGACCTAACTCCCTGGGGGTTCACGCTAAATTGCAGTCAGCCGAGCGGGCACCATAGTTAATTACCCCCTTACAGCTTTTAGTAGGCGGGACAGACGCTTTAGCCGGCCAAGCTGACAGTAATCTAGTGAGATTCCCCACAGGGATAGATCGATCTAAAAATCGATGGAAATGGGGTGTTACATCATGTTGTTAATTCAATTTGGTAGAAGTCATTTAAAGCAGAATACAGAGTGTATGTTTTGCACTTTGTTACGAAGTGTCAACCAGATCTTGGACATAATAATATCCAAGACCAGATGTTCCAATTCCTTCTTAAAGACTGACCCCCTAGGGGTAAGTGCATGACAATTACTCCATCAAAGAAGATAGGGCGATGGCCTGCAAAGAAGGTTATCTTATCATTGCAAGTAACAGATTTCTTTTTTCTCAAGCTGATGTAGAGCAGTGGTAGGCAATTGACCGTGTACGATCGTCTTATTAATTGTCTTACGAATTAGCAGTCATCAGTTGCTTCACGGCCAGTACAGAGAGATGTCTACATGGTGGATCCATTGCTGTGTTCTGTACTTGCTTCTGGGCTTATCCGCAGGAAAGGTACCTGTTATCATCTATACCGTTAACAATAATGATTGATTTTTTTCACATGATCACTCCAGTTGTGATTGTACATTTTCCTACCTTCACCCGGTGTAACATGACTCACTTCTTTCTTCTTCGAATTCCTCCTTCCTTCTTCTATGCTCTTTAAGTTTCTTTTCTCTACCTTTTGTGGGCAATTAGAAGCTGAATTGAAGAAAGATGGGGAGAACAGGAGACAAAAGTGACGTACATGTATGTCGTCAGTTTGTCATTACAAGCGTATGAGGCAAGTGTGAAGCAAAAGTCACGCAAAAATGAACCACTTTCGTGCGTCGCATTGTCTTCATAAGTGGTGAGTGCGTGCCACGTACGCAGGTAGCAAGACAAACTCAAGAAAACAGTACAATTTCTCCGTTCATCTCACCTTGCAATTATCGTTTCTACTTGAAAGGACATCTCACGTGACCCCTGCGACTCGCTAACTTTGCAAACCTATACAAACTCCACGGATTCTACTGCATCCAAAATTCGCAGGGGACGTGCGAGCCTAAAATTCGTGCGTCCGGTTGTGACCGGGGCTATACACAGCGATCTACAATGTCACCTAATGAGTAGAACTAGCGAATACTTTATATCCGTCATTTTGATACAATATGCCATAGAAATTATTGAATTGTATGGACATGCGTATATGCGTGTTCATGTGTTTTGTATGTATTTGTGTGTGTGCCTATTTGTGATTGTGTGCACACTGACTCGTGTATGTGTGTGTGGTGATTTCTTCATATAAAACGCATGCTTAAAAAGTTTATTCATTTTAGGAAAAATATGACGACATAAGCATAAGTCAACGAGACGTAGGTAAGCGATATACTTTGTACAAGTTGTATTTCAATCCATCGCTGTGCCGATACTACTCCTTAAAAACGTTTGACCTTCATTTAAAGAAATAAATAAATGGATTGTCAATCTTTGTGTGGCGCAGAAACTGATAAGCTACTTTATGATATATATATGATATTAACTAATTATAACGTTTAGCTCATCTAATCAGTATTTTTTTCAATTACTGTTCAAGAACGTTAGTTTGCGTACTTTATGACTTTAATTATATGCTGATGAATAATTACATGTAGTTTGATGCAGTGTATAAACTTAATTATGTATGTTTAGATTCATGCATTTTATCATCTGTTTTTATAGCCTGCATTGCTTTTGTTGTATTTAAGATCCCTGTGTGACTCACGGTGTTCTGGACCAGGAGTGGAGAAGTGAGAATAATGCAAAAAGCACCGATAAAAATGGGACAACTCATTGTGATCAAGCAGATAGATCTGACATAAACTTCCCCGGGTGGTTCAGATTCAAAGGCAATGCTGGGAACAGAATGCCAGAAAAGGTCAGTAGAGGTACACTGATGGATGACAATTCTGGATTGGCCCATGTGGTCTGTTTGTTAGTATTTCTTGTCTCTGGTAGTCTCCTTATGGTCTTTGCTTTGATTCTCTATACTATACTATACTATACTATACTATACTATACTATACTATACTATACTATACTATACTATACTATACTATACTATACTATACTATACTATACTATACTATACTATACTATACTATACTAATGTTATGCCATGCCACGCCACACCATACCATGCCATAACATACTAAAGGCCCATGTGATTCCAAAAGGTAGTATAATCCGACGTTAACTCAACAAAGAAAACCACAAATTAACTAGCCCACTGAACCCTCCCACTTTCACCTGCACCAGTCTCTACCGCTCTAAAGTCCCAAAAATGATGACTCCTAAAGTCACTGGTCATATACTATCATATGTACATTATCTTTACTCCATAATGGCAGATCAAAGGTCGATACAACATAAAGCATATGACCACCGAGTCATTATTTATTCCTTGAAAACTTATCAGATATCAATAATCTTATGTATACTTCCCATATGACTATTTACTTTATTTTTAAACACCCTATTGCAGTGCCCAGCGTCCGAGGACAAATGCGGAACTAGTGCTCCCATGTGGTTGAACGGTAAACACCCAGCAATAGGGGACGGCGTGGTCAGTAGACAGGCATGCGCGTACTACTCTGGTGGCTGTTGTCACTGGTCATCTACAGTCAAAGTTAAGATGTGCCCTACAGGATTCTATGTGTACTATTTGCCAAATACACCAGTGTGTTCTTTGGCATATTGCGGTGGTAAGTGTCTCACACCCCATTTCCATAGATTAGATCGACCTACTTTAGATCGACCTAACTCCCTGGGGGTTCACGCTAAATAGCTGTCAGCCGGGCGGACACGAAAGTTAATTACCTCCTTACAGCTTGTAGTAGGCGGGACGGACATTTAAGTCGGATTATCTGAAAGTAATCTAGTGAGACTCCCAGCGGGGATAGATCGATCTAAAACCTATGGGAATAGAGCCTTAGAATGCATTGCATACAGTTATAGATATTTATCTACTCGAAGGACCAGCATAAAATATACCTGTATATTTACTCAGTCTTTATTATTACTATGCTGTTTTTCTTTTTGCCAAGCATTTATGATTATTGGTATGAAGATTCTGTTCAAATAATAATGGTGAATCTACTGAAGTTTAGAGGATTTCTGAAAGGAATAACAATCGTGCAATGTTTGACGAGGCTTAACTTCTACAAAATTAGTAACATTTTCGTCTGCTCGTGGTGACTGACCAGGGCGAGAACACAACGTGCCGCACAAGTCAACTTAGGGGAATTTCTTAATACAATGGGTACACATATTGCTGTATTTTGTTTCTTTGCAGTATTTTATTCTTCATCATACCAGTACGAGCAGACTGGCTGTGATTCTTGTCTTTTTATCGTGAATTCAATGATCTCAATTTCATGATCAGTCCGGAATAGTGAAGAATGCCTGATGAAATAAAGTAATCAAATAAACATCTCTTTATAGTAGAGGCCAGCTGAATGATAGCATTAGCTTTATACATAATTTATGCAGTAGAGTAATGTGCATCTGTGTATATCTAGTGAAAATCAATATTACGTGATTAGGACTTGGCGGTATTTTTTAATCCAAATCACAGAACACATCCTCTATGCCAGGGCAGTGTACCTGGGNATCTACAGTCAAAGTTAAGATGTGCCCTACAGGATTCTATGTGTACTATTTGCCAAATACACCAGTGTGTTCTTTGGCATATTGCGGTGGTAAGTGTCTCACACCCCATTTCCATAGATTAGATCGACCTACTTTAGATCGACCTAACTCCCTGGGGGTTCACGCTAAATAGCTGTCAGCCGGGCGGACACGAAAGTTAATTACCTCCTTACAGCTTGTAGTAGGCGGGACGGACATTTAAGTCGGATTATCTGAAAGTAATCTAGTGAGACTCCCAGCGGGGATAGATCGATCTAAAACCTATGGGAATAGAGCCTTAGAATGCATTGCATACAGTTATAGATATTTATCTACTCGAAGGACCAGCATAAAATATACCTGTATATTTACTCAGTCTTTATTATTACTATGCTGTTTTTCTTTTTGCCAAGCATTTATGATTATTGGTATGAAGATTCTGTTCAAATAATAATGGTGAATCTACTGAAGTTTAGAGGATTTCTGAAAGGAATAACAATCGTGCAATGTTTGACGAGGCTTAACTTCTACAAAATTAGTAACATTTTCGTCTGCTCGTGGTGACTGACCAGGGCGAGAACACAACGTGCCGCACAAGTCAACTTAGGGGAATTTCTTAATACAATGGGTACACATATTGCTGTATTTTGTTTCTTTGCAGTATTTTATTCTTCATCATACCAGTACGAGCAGACTGGCTGTGATTCTTGTCTTTTTATCGTGAATTCAATGATCTCAATTTCATGATCAGTCCGGAATAGTGAAGAATGCCTGATGAAATAAAGTAATCAAATAAACATCTCTTTATAGTAGAGGCCAGCTGAATGATAGCATTAGCTTTATACATAATTTATGCAGTAGAGTAATGTGCATCTGTGTATATCTAGTGAAAATCAATATTACGTGATTAGGACTTGGCGGTATTTTTTAATCCAAATCACAGAACACATCCTCTATGCCAGGGCAGTGTACCTGGGACTTAGATGTGTGTTTGGAACTTTAACCCTGTTCAAAGGTGGCAGAGGATCATACCCAGGTTCCAGCTGTTATAGAAAATATACTTATTAGAAAATTCTAACCCAAGGTTGGCAAGTCCCTACCTACAAGTAAACATCATTCACTGCCTCATGTAAAACAAATGCTTGTATTTCAGAATATCACGACCTGTGTCTTGATAACAACGGAGGATGTTCCCACTACTGCTCCATGGATAACTCTACATTCAGCGCTGTTTGTTCATGTCCGAAGGGTTTTCGTCTGGGAAAGGACCAAAGGACGTGTGGTACGTGACTGTTCCAAAAGATCGGGTGCACTGTAAAATATGTTTGTTGTATCGATTTTCTACGTCGTAAATCAAAATTCATTGAAAGAATAATGAAATGTGTTTACAATCTTAGAAACATTTCCAGTTGAACGAGTATGGGGCTATGAATAAAACTTCTGACGAACACACACGCACGCACAGAGAGAGAGAGAGTTTACCAATTATGCATTTTCAGAGTATCACGACCTGTGTCTTGAAAACAATGGAGGATGTTCGGACAATTGCTCCATGGATAACTCTACATTTACTGTCGTCTGCTCGTGTCCGGGTGGTTTTCTGTTGGGAAGTAACAATCACACGTGCGGTAAGTATTATTAAAACCCTTTCTTATTTTTCAGATTCGATTGATACAGTGTATGTCGGATTGAGATGGATTTCAATCCAATTTAAACAAATCTTGATTGCAAAAAGTCAGTAGTATATCATATTTTTTTATAAATATCCCTTAACTGCTAAAACCATTTATTTTATGCTGGTATTAAAGATGACTATGGAGAGATCGCATTTATTACATTACAACCATCCACTGACAAGTCCATTGACTTAATTTTTCTTTTGACCTGCACTTATCATCTTTTTATATTTATATTTTCAGATAATTCTTGCATTAAAACAGTTTTCTCTAATTTTTTCAACCGCAGTAAAAGACGAGTGTACAGTGGATAACGGGGGTTGTAGTCATATCTGTGTCCACAGAGAATACAATGACCACCGCCATTGTCAGTGTCCGGTGAAAGGTTTGGTGCTAGAGCAGGACGGAAGAACATGTCAATGTCAGTACACACATTGCTACTTAACTTTGGAAATATCACCAAACATGGTGCCATAGGCTGTGTTCCAAATAGAAGTTATCGCACTTGCGGGATCGATCTATCTCAACGGGTTTCCGCGCCAAGGCGCGGTCAGTGTTATCAGTTTTTGTCTGGCACGCCCCCTCGCAAAGCAACATGAACAACATCATGAACCACGAAATTTTCCCGACTTTACCCAAGTACTTTAAGTTACGAGGGTCGTGTCAGATAATTAAGCTGATTGCATTGACTGCGCCTTAGCGAGAAACCCCCCTTAAGATAGACCGAACCTGTTAGTACGATAATTTGTTCTGAACACAGCTTAAGTTAGTCAATTAACAAAATGTTAGCTTTTGGATATTCTTATAGAGGTATTAATTTAAAAGACGCTGGTAAAAATGTTAGTCTATGTGGAAGTAGTCCTGTATTATTTGTTCTTTTTATATGTCATCAAAGTTTAAATGGACACATATATTCTAGTAGTAGTATTATAGTAGTTCCATAAGTATTACTCTGGACAATCTGACACAACGCCACCTTTGTCAGACTGATGAAGATGGCCGATGGTCCATCGAAAAGACCTATATAATTAAATTTGCAGTTTGTGACAAAAAGGTTTTAGTATGACTATCATTTACCAAACGGATGAAACCTTTTAAACATGTTTATTTATTCTACCTCAGCCCCCGATGTCACCGTAACCTGCACCGACCAACACCTGCAGTTGGACCTGCTTCGTTCGGCATTCCACGGTCTCAATGAGAGCCAGCTTCAGTTGGCGGACCCTTCGTGCCAAGGCACAGGCAATCGTACTTTCATCACGTTCAAGTCACCCCTGCACGGCTGTGGCACGAGCATGAATTTCACCAACTCCTCGCTCGTGTATTCCAACATCGTGTCTACCAGGCCCAACTACCTCTCCCTAATGAGTGGTGTCGTCACTTGGGCCGGCACGGTCGAGGTTCCTTTTGAGTGCGAGTATGCAAGGGACCACTGGATCGCCCATAGCTTCAAGCCAGTTGTAGAGAAACTGAGTTTCAAGGAAAAGGGTAGAGGAAACTTGACGTTCAACATTCAACAGTTCCAATCCGAGAAGTTTGCGACTGCATTCTCCAAAAAGGACTACCCTGTGTCCGTGAATATTCGTGATCACATGTATTTTGTGCTGAGCGTGAACACGAAGTCCAAGGATGTGAAACTGTTTGCGGACGCGTGCAAGGCTACGCCCTCCTCCAGCCCGTTCGACTTCCTCCAGTTCAACTTCATCATTAACGGGTAAATACATGTACCTGCATTACACAAAAATGAAAAAATATTTGAGTTGTACACTCATATAGATCAATGCAAAAATGCATTAACGAATACCCATGGTTATCAGATATGAATATATGTTTATAGTTTTGCTTCATAAAGTATTTTAGATCCGTACAAATATGAATCACTCATAACCGCAATTTGGGATGTTTTCACGAATAGGCTCACTTTTGTATGTTTGTTTAATTATTTTATTTGATGATAGGTCATCTTTTTATGTACTAGTCAACTGATCCTTTCCCATTCAGAAGTCAACTTCATATTATAATCAAATGAGCGTCATATAGTAAAAATACTTGCTTTCCTTCCCTTCAGATGTCCAGTGACATCGGAGGTCAAGTTCCTCCCAAGTCAGGACCCAAGGGAGATTCGCTTGAGTATCCAGGCCTTCCAGTTCCTGAAATCTTTTCCTCAGATTTATCTTCACTGCAAACTGGTCGTCTGCCACACTGCGGATATGACGTCACGCTGTACCAAGGGCTGTGTGCAAGATGATAGCCCAGGGAAGAGAAGGGCGGAAACTGTCGACGATTTCCAGATATCTGAAGGACCGTTCCATTATATCGTTTACTGACGGCTCTTGTAAGTTATTTTTCATGAATATTCTAATCTTGTGTTTTAACTTTGATTTTTATTGGTAATTAATACAAAAAATACACATTTTAATCAAGGATAATTACATGATTTCAAATTTGCATAGAGACCTATATTTCATTCTAAATGCAGGGAAAGCACATTCTTTTAATTTGGTGTATGTCCGGTGAATATATATTTGTTTGAGCTGAAGTGTCCTGGCATCTTTAATTTTTCATTAAAACATCTTTACAGAACTGCATCACCAAATGTCCTCAAATCTCACGAAGATCGAAATCTCATCTCGGCAATTGGACATGGGACATGCGATTTTAACCGATATAATTCGATTTTCACGAAAAGCGTAAGCCAACCAACATTTAACTTTGCTTTATATCGCTAGTGGAGTGTAAAACTTGTTTTACTATTCTACGTATACATATTTTAATCCGCTTTTGTGCAGATTCTGAATTGTGCTTATCATTAAAAAGCAGAGCAACTGACTAAACGTGTTATGTCTTTGGTTAAACTGAATTTTTTCACAGTATGGGAAGTTTGCGAGTCTATGATCTACAACAAAGTTATGGGAGAAAAAGGATCTATAAATTCAGTTCCTATGATTTATTTTTACCGTAATGACGGAGATTTGCCTGAATACCTTTCTATAACGACATCCAGACACGAGGTTGCATATCGTAATTTAGTCTCCGGTTTTCGATATGGTGCGCCAGTTAAGGCTATAAAAAGTTTTAAAATTTCAAGGAATAGCAATTTTAGGAATAAAAAGGTTGGGCGGCCTTATGTATGCCTTTATGTTTTATTATGTTTTATTACTTGATTCGTATTGCGGTTCAGCGGGGTGTTGCACGTGATATGAAATATTCATGTAAGGAAGAATTGGCAAAGTTGTGAACCGGGTTATACCCAAGATCGTACTTACAGGTCATTCAAATAGGCCAGGTTGAATAATCACTCGCGAAAGGAGTCTATATAAAAATTTCTCTGAGCGCGGGGGGGGGGGGGGGGGTGGAGGGGGGCTTTAAAACTGTTATCGCTTTTTAATTATTTGCCTTTTTGTTTCTTTTCTTTTATTCTTCTATAAATTTGCAATGCAATTACTTAGATTAGCCTTTCTATAATTCTATCAAACTGATCAATTGGCCGGTGTGTGCCGCTCTTCACCGACGGGGGCACTCACACTGCGAATAAGACCCGGCCTTCTGTATTTTTGTCGGCTAAAAATGAATGCCTTATAGGCTATTAATCATTCAAAGAGTTATTAATGTTAAGCCTAACATCAAAGTA